AAACTTGGGCAAGGGCATAGTTATTAAGTGTTAGAGCTGGGATTCAGGCACAGGCCTTCCATGCACAGAGTCATGTTATTAGCCAGTCTGCCTCCCAAGGCTGCTTTGAAAATGTTCATATGTACAACCTTTAGCGTACTCTGCTGTGCTCTTTGTTGTGTTGAAACACCTCACCCTGAGCAGTCTTTGCCCTGCTACTTACAATAACTTGGCTTAGTCACTTCACATCCCTTGGCTTTAGTTTCCAAATGTTTAAAATGAGAGAGTGGACTAAATGAGGGATGTAAGCTGGAGCCCCTAAGGCCCAAAGAATAAACTGTGTTTGACTAGCTATTTTAAGTTGAAAGTGACTGTCTTTAAGTGGTATATGCTCACCCTCTTCACGCTGTAACCACCACTTTCAGTAGCCTTACAGCAGGCCCACTTCCCTTATTTTAATGAACTCTCTAGCATCCAAAGGCATTTAAGTTTGAGATCGCTGATCAGACAATGCTTAAATCTGAGGACCTATGAATATACTCTTCCTTTACCTTCCTTCACCTTTCTTCTTTCCCCAACTCCAACTTAAAGAGCACTTTATCTGAGATTTTTCTTGTGCAAATAATGCTCTGAGCCTTGACTCCCACCTTTGTTACAGAAGTCTTCTACTTGGCAGGGCTGTCAGATGTGAGCTGATTTCTTATTGCCATGGACCATGAAAATGCTGATTTTCTATTTGCTTCTGGAAGGGAGACAGATGAAGCTTGTTGTAGAATGTAAGGTTAATCCAATCTCAGAATCCACTGCACATGGAAAGATGTTTCCTGTTGTTTTCATTTAATCTGGAAGGTTTCTTCTTTCCAAACTTAGAAATTAATCAATAGCTGGAAGAACGAAGGCCTTTTATTCTGCTTCATGAGCTTACACACCCCTACGTTGCATGCCTTTCATTTCCTGCAGCAAGAATATATTCAGTATTGATACAGTGGCTTTGAGGATTTTTACTGGGCTTTGCAAACATCCTTCATCTGGCCGCTGGGAAGGAGGTGCCAGGTGTTGCTGACTATTAGTGTATTGCCTGACACATAATCGGCACTCAAATATTGCTGAATGGATAAATGAATGAACATTTTAAATGCTTTCTAGCAACTGGAGCCTACATTAGTTAAATAACTCCTTGACACTCAATTTATAGGATTATATTTTATTTTTAGATACTGTATAGCTTATAAAGGGTTTTCACACACTTTCTCTAGAAATTACTTTCCATATTTTAAGGTTGAGGAAATGACGCTTCAAGAGGTTAGCTAACTTCAAAGTCATATGTGACTTCAAGTTGTCATTATCAAAATAAAAGCCAATATTAAAAAACAGTTGTTGAAAAAAGTATTTTTTGAAGTTGTGTAAGCTAAAGCCTTAGATACTAAAACATAGGAGGAAAAAAATGACTTACCACAAAAACTGGAAAGAGTACTATTATTTATATGGTACTTTATAGTTTCCAAAGCATTTTCTCATATGATTTCATTTGAACCCCACGACACCTCTACTCCATTGGAGTAAAATCGTTTCTTGCTTCAGGTTAGGTGACAGACTACCTCAGATACTATTCTTTTCCAAAAGATGGGTCAGGTCAGAGTGGCAGTTAAATATTCAATTTCTTGCACACTCATGCCATCTACTGGTACTTTTCTGGTACCATGGGTTGCAACTGCTTTTATATTAAAAAACATTTTTTCTTCACTGTAAACTTCAGCGAGACCACTCAAATGTTTCACGCCTTCTAACTCAAGTCCTTAAAAAGACCCTCCCTGCCATCACAATCTTTGAAACTCTTTTTGTAAGGAGGCTACTCTGAAACTGGACCTAAATCTTACTTAGGAAAGGGATTGAAATACTTTTATTCCTTTTGGCATACTGACAGGCTTTAGAAGTGCCTCTGAGCACCTTCCAATTGGCTTCGAAACTGGGGGAAGGGAGACGGCTTAGCTAAGGACAGAGAGCACTCACGGAAGCTTCACACTTTCGTGGTAATGCTTCCCCTCTGCCCAGTATTTCCCGAGGGGTGTGGGTAGAGCGGCTTAGCTGAGAAGATGGTAGCCCCAGACTGACAGCTCACTCCATGGTGTGGCAACAGTTGGCGGAAGAGTGACACTGAAGAACAGCTGAAGCCAACCTCTGACTCAGGGGCACACCAGGGGGCTTTCTCAAGCTGCACCAGCCCCTGAAAACCTCTGGTCAATCCTCGGGAACACAAACACCACCTTCTTCAAAGCTGGGCTTTCAAATTTGCTCTGGATCTGAGATTTTTGAATTACTGGAAGGAATTTGTTTTTGTACTTTGCTTTAAATTCAGATGACTTCATCTCTGGGGCAAATTGGTAGAGGAGGGTTAAAATGAGATGATTTGTTATGTATATAAACCATTTCTCTCACAGCCTTAGGATTCCTTAAAAACCAGACTAACACCATTACAGCAGTAGTGTGAAACAGGCTGAGATAAACACAGGAGAAAGAAAACTGGGTTTGAAAAGTAACTAGTCGGTACCTATTAGTGGAAATCCTTGTAGGATTCTTCTCAAAAGTCATCTTGTCTGGGAGGGAAAAAATGGAAGCTTTTACATTTTTATTTTCTTTCTTTATCATTGAGGTTGTATTCAATGAACCTTTTTTTAACTTTTCTTCCTTCTGCTCCACGGTAGGAGAAAAACAGAAGTTTTGATGATTTTTGAAAGCAAAGTAAAATGTCTATTATAGCAGATTATGAAAGATTCCTCATGACTAAGGTCAAGTTAGCAACATTTGATAAACAGATTTCAGGCCCTAATTTGCTTAATGGTTTAGTAGCATACATCAAAACCAGGAAGGATTTAAAGAACTTTGAAAGCATCTAGTCATTCTCTAATTTAGAGCAAAATCAAATTGTGGTTTGTTCAGTATTACTCAGAGTAGTTATTCCATACACTGCTCATTGCTTAACAGGTTTTTAGGGCATATATTTCACTATATTCCAACAAGAATCAGTTAAGATAGGGCTTGTTTTTTCCAATTCTTACTTGAGAAGACTAAGGTTCAGAGGTGACGTCACACACTTCCCAAAGTCACACAGGAAATAAATCAGAGAGTCAGCATTGATGACAGGTCTTTAAAGTCTAGTGATCCTTCGAGGAAACCTTTTTCCCGGAGACTTCTCGTCTCCTTAAAGTCAGTTTATCTAACTGTTGCACTTATCCAATTTTAAGTCAGTTTTTAAGCAGGTGGAAATCATATCAATCTGTTGCTTATTGACACTTCTAAGGCTGTGGGCCTCTTGTGAAAAAACACCTGCTTTTACCAGGCGCTAACACACCACAACCATAATTTTGAGCTTGAATAACCCTTTGAGTAGTGATTCTCACATATTAGCAGACAGGTTATCTTTGCAGCTTGGTAAAAAATCTGGATTTCTGGGTTCCACCTCAGAGACCAATCCAGTATTGGCAGGGGGCAAGCAGTCATGGGGACATAAATCACTGTTTAACAAACCTCCCAAGTGTTCAAATTGCTGATGACTTCAAAAACCTAAATATGTAAAGTGATGCCCAGGATCACAAAACCCTTAATGGAGCTTTGGAATGTATATTTTATGCCTTAACATAGAAGTTTCAATTTGGGAAGCCCCAATATTTTAGAATGAAGCAGCCATAAAATTCGCACCCAATTAAAGATGAGTATCCCAACTTCTCCTTAGTTCTGCTTTATTTCTATAATAGATATCTTCATATCAATGCAAGAGCTGACCTAACAGGAGTTTTTCAGTTTAATCTTGCTCTATTCCCAATTCACATCTTCCCTAGAAGAAACAGTTTTGGTTTTATATGGCTCCTGGTGAGAAGCTGGTGTTAAAAACAGACATGCAATTAGTGGATATCTGTTTAAACTGTGAGATATTTTTGTAACTGTTGTGGAAATGAACCATCATAAACATGTCCCTGAATATTTTATAATCGGTAGCTTCCCATTCCTGCCTGATCAAAAATTACCTGTGGACTGATTCCACCCTAGCCTGGGGCCCAGACTCCGCATTTAAACATCCCATATGACTTTCATGAATAGGTAAATTTAGAAAACAGATATGGCACTGCTATTTTCCCCTCCAATCCCAAAGCAGCCACTCACAATTGTAACTTAAAGCATTACATAATTACTAACAAATTTAGTGTCTTTAAGTAAAAGCACTCAAGTTTCTTAAGATCACAACTTATGGTCACTGTCACCTAAAACTAAGAGAAAGGATTCTCAAGTCTTCCAAGGCTTAATCTCTATACTCTTCAGTAATCCACTTACTATGCAGTATATTCACCTTCCTTCACACCCCAAAGCAAAACCATCCCCATTAGTGGTTTCCCATCTCTAGTGAACAGTGTGTTTGCTTTTCTGTAAATAATCCAATCTGACTGGATCTTCCATATTGCCTTTTTTTGGGCAAATGGAATAGTGTTTAAAAGGAAGGCATAAAGGAACCTGTTGCTGTGGTACATGCCACAGTCACCTGAAAGCTAACCTAGTGATGTGACATTTAGTCGCTCACTGCATAACAACGTTTCAGTCAACAACAGACCACATATACAACGGTGGCCCCATAAGATTAGTGCCATATAGCCTAGGTGTGTCGTAGTCTATACGGTGCAGGTCTGTGTAAATACACTCTGTGATGTTCACACAAGGATGAAATTGCCTAATGATGCACTTCTCAGAATGTACCTGTAGTTAAGCAACACAATTGTACTTTATTTGTTCATATATACTATAGTTGTCAGTGTCTAAGGCAAAAGAATCTCAGAGAAGTTAATATTGGCAAACTCAGTTATCTCCAGGTGTAAAATTAGGTAGAGTTAACTAAGCCAGACTGTCACCTTATTACTGACAAGTGAAGAAAGCTACAGCTACTCAAAGGTATAACATACGTTCATAGATAAAAATTAAGACAAGATGATCACTAGACAAGGATCAGTGGAAAATAAGTAGCAGTATTGCACCAATGCAAGACAAAATATACTTTATTGTGACAGCAAATGCACATAGTGCTGTAGGTAGGCATGCTACTAGGAATCTGCATATAATCAAAGGCAAGTATGGAAATGAATGGGAATGAAGGCTGTTTCTTAATGCTTGAAGATTTAGTCCATGGTAAAACAAGGATAGAGAAGAATTTGTGTCCACTTATCTCAAATGCAGTAATATACACCTACTTAATCAGAGACCTATGCCTCTAACCAAGAGCCCAAAGGCAAATAAGAGAAACAATCTTAACTGTACTAAGGAGTTACCTCTAATATCAGAGACAGATTTTGTTAATTGAAGCAAATTTCCTTTCTAGACAAAGACCTAGAAATTGAGCACTCAAACATCCATTCACTCATTTAAATAATTAGCCAATTTTAAATGTCACTTTTCCACCAGAAGCAAATACTAGAATATCTAGAAATAGTTTGGATAAAGAAACATTTACATTTTAACACTTCATAATGTTGTAAATTTGGGGCTAAAATAACACCCTGAGTCAAATTTGATCCCTTCAAGTGGAAAGTACAGTTTCTATTTCGACAGCTGAACTTCTGAGGGAAGATCTGAGAAAATAATGCTAAGAGATCTAATCCTTTGATGAAACTATTAGGCTCTACAGACTTGTCAAAATCAATGCAAAATTGAGGAGGAAAGGCAGAAACACTTCATGAAGCAGTGTTTTTAGTTAGGTTGCTGCATTTTCCCCCTTCTTTTAAAAGAGATGCAGATGAAATGCTTTCTGCATGAATGCACACTGATGTTCTGTTCAACTGTTTTCTAAATGCAATATTGTGCGTTTAAACAGTATGCTTTAATTTAAACAAAGTAATACCTTATACACAGTCAATTTAGCTTAAGAGATGAAAAGAAACACTACTATGAAAATTACTTGTCAAATACCCTGCTCTTTTTAAAGGTGTTTTTAAAAGCAACACAGGACCAAAAACATCCAACTATTACTTTATTTATATTACTATGCTTAAGTTACATGGAAAAGACAACCAAGCAGTTCTGCCCCACTTCAGGAAGTTTCCAATCAACACCAATTATGTGGTGACAAATAACTAAGAATGCTGACATCTTTGGGTCAAGACTGACAAGGAAGAATGGGCTCTGGTGCTACGGTTCATCTCCAACAAGAATATGGCACAATGGCCAGCACAAGCCATACTAACACTGAACCTTTAGCGCTGGTCACAAATTCGGATCTCTTCTCTGAAGCTAGCAAATCAAATGAAATAATTGGGTTTTTAAAAAAAGTCTTAAAATGAAGCTCAAATAAGTTTAAAAACCATGCTCTTGACACATTTTCCTTTCAAAATTTACAGAAAACACACTTTTTCACTCTAATAGCCCAGATTTTTTTCCTCACATAGCCCACCATGTAGCTGCAGACAGACTATTCTGCCTCAAGATGTAAACATCGGGGAAAAAAATTATCGGCATCTGCATAATATTCTTTCTACACACTGCTGTTGGATGGAAAATAGAAAATTTTAAAAAAAGAAAGAAAGAAAGAAAGGTTCCATCTTAGATTCTCACAACCTCTTGTTCCTCAGTTCATGAATCCGACTCTGATGCTAAGGTGACAGTGTATGTAAGTAGATTTTTGTTTTCAGTGAAGGAGACCTGGGAAAAGATGGAGTTCTCTCTTTTTCTTCAAGAGTTATCAGATGGTACATGCTCCTCAAAGCCCTCACTCTCTCGAACTAGAGCACGTTCCAGGATCACACGGCCTTCCTTATAACGCTGGCTGTCTTCAGTGGCAAACTCATAGATCCATCCCAGTTTGCTATTGCAGTTTTTGCAGCTCACATCTCGAACCATGTGGCGGCCAGTGAGCATGACCCGGTCTTGAACTTCACTGTACTGCAGGTTAACCACCTAAGGAACGTGTGAATACAAAATTGCAAAGGCATGTAAGTTATTTGTCAAAAAAATACACAATTTTTGGCTGGTGCAATAACAGCAACTTCAGAAAAGCAAAAAGCAGTAGTTACTTCAGTCAAATCCACAATATCCTACCCAAGAGCTATTTTTAGAAGCTGCTGGGAGAGGTAAACATCTGGAAATTGCACCACATTGGACATCTAACACAATCATGAATTATTGTACTAGTCCAAGCCACACTGTTCATACATACTAGTTATGTTTCTGGGTTGTAGTGGAGAGTCCTTGACCTGGAGTCAAAAAAACGTAGGATTGGGTCTAACTGTTATTCATCATTAAGTGATAAGTGCAAATAAGGCTACCAATGTAAAAGAACCTGGACCAAGTTTTCCATAAAAAACTAGACCAGGTAATTCCATAAAAAGTCTGCCAAATTTGTTTCTGAAAATACATTTTATACATAGGCTGGGAGAGACTAAGCCTACTACAGACCACACATTGTAATATATAGTTGTCAAGTGGGTTCAAACACTCTATCAAGAATTTCCAATGATTCAGAATACCCAATAATCTTCTACAATTTACTTTTCTGTAAAGGGCCAGATAGGAAATATTTCTGGCTTTGAGGGCTATATGGTCATTTTTTTCCTTTTTGTTGAGGAAGATTGGCCCTGAGTTAACAGCTGTTGCTAATCTTCCTTTTTTTTTCCCTCCCCAAAGCCCCAGTACATAGTTGCATATCCTACTTATAGGTCATTCTAGCTCTTCTATGTGGGATGCCACCACAGCATGGCCTGATGAGTGGTGTGTAGGTCCGTGCCCTGAATCCAAACTGGTGAAGCCTGGTCCACCAAAACAGAGTGTGAACTTAACCACTCGGCCACGGTCCAGCCCCCTATATAGTCTTTGTTCTAACTATTTAGCTTGCTATCGCAAAAGCAGCCATACACAATGCATAATGAATGAGCATGGCTGTACTGCATTAACTTTTATTTACAAAACAAGGCAGTTGGTCTGCCGTAGTGTGCTAACCCCTGCTCTATACCTAAATAGAGATCAAGGGGTATATATCAATTCCCTGAGAGAAAAACTTGTTTCTAAATGAACAGAGGGGTGTCCACAGGGGAAGTTTCGTTGGCCTTCTAAGAGCAGGACCTTGGACTAGTTCTGTTCCTTTGCCTAAAAGATTCAGAAATTCAACTTTGTCAGTACACATTAGACTCCAGGAGGCATAATCACATCAACCAATTTCAAAGCAAGCCGGAAACTATAGAAGCAGGCAGACAAGACACACATTTATAAATCAGGAAAACATTCTTCCTGCCAGCAACCTTATGTGACAATCCAAATCATAATTAGGAGGATGATTGGTGAGCAGAAATTAGAGCAAGGGAAGTTGGTTAGATGATCTTTATTCATCTGCATTGTCAAGCTATGTCAAGTTATGCGTATGTCAAGTTTAATACAGCTACCTTCCTATAAGGATAAATCAGTGTCTCAGCCCCTTCTTCCAAAGTCTGTGAAGTCACTACCAAATTCTTACACAGAATGTTTTCTGAAGCAATGGAGATGACCCTTCTCATTATAAGTCTTTAAACTTCCAAGGTTAAAAATCACATTCTAGTATTGCCTTCCTGAGGTCCCATCAAAGACAAGCTAGTGAGCAATCATTTCTATAGACTACAGCTCTCATTCTAACTCTTCCTGTTATTTCTAAGCTCTGAGGAGTATTCTGATACTGCTGTCAAATATATCTACTAAACCCACTTAGGAAATGAAACTGGTTATCCCACCAACCTTGTTAAAAAGAAATGCTCTGCCAGTGGCGCCTGTGAACCGAGTGGAGATGAGTTCTGAGCGGTTGGTCAGGATCGTATCACAGTTTGCACAAGAAAACAGACGGGTACCACCGATGTGATCAAGGAAAATTCTGCCCATTTTTACAGTTGAAGTTCTAAAAACCTAGGAGCAAAGGGAAAAGGAGAAGAAATGCATTATGATTTAAAAAAATGTGTTACTATTTGGTAGGGGTCACAGAGAACCTTTTCTATATATGTGATCTCTACTTTGTAGTACTCAATATGTGAAACAGCTGACTCTGAACAAAAGGATCCAAATTCACACACTGAACAAATAAACAGGCATACCCAAGCTAAGAATATTTTAGAAGCAGTGAGCCAAGGAAGTAAACATGCTTAGGCAAGGCCAAGGAATGTTATCACCTCTCTTTTGATTGCTATGAAAAAAATAGGAAGAAAGTGGAATATCAGCAAGTGAATGATGAAAAGTACATGCAAAAAGGTGAGAAAAAAGGTCTAGCCTAAGTGTTAAGTACACATTCTGAGTACGTATAATGTGAGAGAAGGCTTGTGGGGCATGAGTGGGATGAGCAGATAAGAGTAGAAAAAGGGGCAATCAGAAAACTAGAAAAGGGCAGTCTGGTTTGAGAGCATGGGTGAGCAGGTCTCTGGTCATCAGGTGCATCTACAACTGTGTACAGGTGATGGCACCAACATTAGTAAGTTTGAGTCTGTGGCGCTTTACTTATTTCAAAATCATCATGGCAACTGTGTGAGGTTATCACCCCCACTTCATAGATTATCCAAGGTTATTAACTGTTTTCAAGTACAGAAAATCATGACTGGAATGCAGTTCACCCAACTCTAGGCCAAAATCCTTCCATTACCGTACACTGCCTCCTCTAAGAGGACACACAAGACGGTCTAGGCCTGGCATAAGGTTAGGAAAACAAGAACAGAGAAGGGAAACATGAGCCATTATTACATAACTTATATTTAAGAAATCGTACCGATTCAATAAATCACAGAAGTGCTGAAACATTTGGGGAAAAAAGCTTTGAATCCAACTTTCGAAACAAGCATAATCACACTTCAATATTTCAAAAGTTGGGAGAGTTAATATATGTAACTCCTTAAATTCACAGCAATTAATTCCCTAAAAAACAATATTTTTAAATATCTATATGGAGTCAAGAATATACTATAGCTTTCAGTTAAAAAAGAATTTACTCCTGGGTATAGTTATCAGCAGCTATGTTTTAAAAATTTAATATTACATGTCTTTAAAATGGCATGCAGAGCGGACAGAGCTGCTACTATGAAAAAAACCCCTAGAATCTATGTCTGTAATAAGAATTCATCGCCATCTTAAATTGGGGGAATTCCATAACAAATTAAAAAGAAAATTCTATTCCTTCTTACATCTGTGAAATTCTTCAGACATTAGGCAGTCGAAATGTCATTGTCATGAAGATCACAATGATTCCCATTAAACAATATGATATGGAAGTTTAATAAGGAATGAAAACAAATGAATATAATCACAACTGAATTATATATATTTACTTGTATATAAATACAATATATTTATAATATATAATATTTATATGTATAAACACAAGTGAACATAATTACAAATTTGTAGCTAGTAAAAGGAAAACCAGTGCATTAACAAGACTGTCAATGAATAAACCATAGGTAAAAAAAAGACTTAAGAAATGATATTTAGCTTTCTGATTACATTTCTGCAAAATAACAACAAAAGGTAAGACTCACAGCCTACTCAGTCTTTAAGAGAGCATTACTTTTTCCAGATGCTCTCATTTGGTAGTGCAGGGACACAGCGTGAACAAAACAAATGACCCTTCCCTCACAAAACATAGGTGGAGATGTTTTATTTGTCCCACACACTTTTTCATCCTTAATAAAAAAGTTGAGCCGCCACTTAAAATTTGAGAGATTTCATTAAAGAGCCTGTATGTTGGGCTTTTTTAACAACGGGGATCTGGCAACAGGGGGCATGTGTTCTCCTACAGCAACAACTGACTAGAGCTGAGTGGTGGCTGCAACTTCCCCCGGAAGGCCGTGCCATTCGCTCCGTCTACTCTGCTGCACATAATTACTTTACCTGTAAGACATCTGAGTTTACCACTCTCAAAATAAATAAAACATTCAACGACCCTGTGAGTTGATTCTGGTCATCTCTCCTAATACTGGTCATTTACAGAAAGGAATCAACAGTCTCACCTCTTAAAACATAGTCCTCGGATTCTATATTTCTCTACAAACTAGTATTTGTGCAGTCATTTAGCCTCTAGATTGGGATTCTGGGACTCGTTACTTTAAAGCCAATTTTCCTTCAAACTCGAAAAAAAATATTCATACCGTAATTTATTCCAATCATAACGTTGGAGTAACTGGATGTTTTCAATTGACCGTGGCAGATACAATGTTATCATGGAAAATGTACTGAACTTCAAAATGAATTCTCCCTATACTTTCTGCCTACATCATTCTATCTTTGGTTCAGAATTACAATACAGCTGTGACCATTTGCTACTGGATACAAGCAAGCTCTTTATTCCTAAATGGGTAAATAGATTTAACACGCTTTCTCTTCCCTGCTTCAAGTTGAGTCTATTTTTAGTCTTTTACTCAAGTATTTTTACTGGATTCAATTATGATTCATTACCAGGACCAAAAATATCTGTGCAGAACCACTATTCCTAGTTGTGGTTACCATTTATAGAGTACTATAAATGTATATAAAACTGTAAAATGTAGTTCTTATTTGCCACAAGAGAGAAGCTAGAATGCCAGGGAATCTAGCAAAAGCAAGCAAAACATCACTTGCTGTCAAAGGTCTTTAGGAAGCAGAAAAACTTCTGCAGGGTCATTAGGTTCCATGTGTTAAGCCTGGGCGTTGCAGGGGCTAGAAACGCAACCTAATACTGACACTATCCAAACTCTCAAGAGGCTGACATAAATAACACAGTGGCATTCTATTTGAAGGGGGAAGGTCATTAAAATGCTAAGACAGAACATGTGAATCAGACTTCTCTGGATCTGGATGATATACTGAACTCTGCCTTAGATCTAATAATTATTTAGTGTCTACACTGTATAGGATACCATACTTGGTACTTTACTTAGCACATTTAATCTTGACAATTTCTACAGTAAGTATTTTTAGAGGAAGAAATAAAGATTGTGTGACTTTCTGAAACCAGCCAAGCTGGGATCTGAACTAAATCTTGCTCCAGTTCTTTTCACTCCACTCACTCTCTAATGACCAGACGGCTCCAGATTCAGTCTTTCTCCCTCAGATTTATCATGTATCCTTCCCGCCTCTGTGCTGATCCTCCTATATTCCCTATCTTGGTTGGTGGCAATTCCAATCACACACTCTCCTAAACGAGAAACCCTGGCAACTTCTTAAAGAAAATGCAAAATCAATAATACCTTCTAAATCACTTTTGGAGGTCTTTCCTCCCTCCCCCTCATTAACGTCTTAATTCAAATTCTCATCACTTCTAGATAAACCTCTTGTGGTCAGGGAGTGTCTATTATTACTAAATGCAACATAAATTCACAGGTACTACTCCATTTGTGCCAGACAGTGCTACAAAAATAAGGTCAAAGGCATGTACTCCAGCCATCCCTTTCAAAGAGCTCACACAGACCACCCCTCTACAAACTTTGAAACTTTTTTCCTGACAGGATAGAGTATAGCTGATTCTTTAAAAAAAAAAAAATTTTTTTAAAGGAATAATTTACATACCATAAAATTTAGCCACTGTCAGAGTACAACTGAATGATTTTTTGTAAATTTACTAAGTTGTGCTACCATCACCACAAACCAGCTTCAGAAGATTTCCACCACCTCCCACAACCCCTTCTGCAGTCATGCTCTCCTCCCATCCCAGCCACAGGCAAACACTGATCAACTTTCTGATTGTCTTCACATCCAAAATATTTCCCAGATATGCTAATCACCTTGCTCGGGACTTAGAAGGCTCCCAAACCTCACATATTTCTAAAACACCCTAAGAATGAGCTGCTTTCAAAGATGACTAATATCCTCTGTGTTGATTCTGGGGGCATCTTACTATGTCCCTAAGTAATAAAATGTGTGCTTTAGTATCTGTTAGTGTTGAAGTTCAAGTTTATAACCATAACTAGGGCCAAACTCATCATAGCTAAAGCTTTAAGACACTTTCTTCCTTTTCAACATTTCAAGCAAAAAACAGTAACTGAATAATCTTAATTTTTGTAAGTACCATTCCCTAGATAATTTTATAATTAAGGCCTTTTTGGTACTAGCTTTTCTTAGTTCCAGGTTATTAAAATCCTTAAAAGGTTGAAATAAGAAAAGTGCCAAACTTGGTTGTTGAACTAGGAGCTTATTTATCAGTTTATCTGAAATTACTGGAAACAGTGAGGGCCAGGTTGAAAACGTAAGTGAAACTCATTTAGATGTTATGTCCCTCATACTTCAGTAATTGTTTTCAATTCCTACCCCCTTCAAGAAACAGCACATTTAGCTACCTAGAATTTTCAATTTCTATTTTAATAGGAGACTTTGGTGAAGCAATCACACTCTTAGGACCTCTTTCTTTTCTACAGAATTTTCAAAACATTTACAGGATTTACATAATCTGTAAGAGAAAAAAAGATTTTCTCTTTCAGAAATCCATGAAAAACAAAGTTTCCAGGAATGTATTTTAAAAATTAGACATTATGGACCATATTAATTTCCTAGTTTGAGTCCAGGTCAATAAAACAATTTTCTAAAAAAGATATTTTTCTAAATTGAGGGTTTTTTAGAGCAGTTTTAGGTGCACAACAAAATAAGGTAGAGATTTCCCAGATATCCCCTGCTCCCACACATGCATAGCCTCCCTCATTATCAACATCCCCCACCAGAATGGTGCATTTGTTACAAGTGACAAAACTACACTGATACATCATCATCACCTAAAGTCCACAGTTCACATTAGGGTGCACTCTCAGTGTTGGACATTCTATGGGTTTGGACAAAGGTATAACAACACATATCATTATATTATTACAGAGTATTTTCACTGCCCTAAAAATCCTCTGTGCCCCGTCTGTTCATCCCTCCCTTCTACCAACCCCTGGGAACCCCAATCTTCTTTGCTCTCTCCATAGTTTTGCCTTTTTCAGAACATCATGTAGTTGAAATCATATAGTATGTAGCTTTTTCAGATTGGCTTCTTTCACTCAGTGATATGCATTTAAGGTTCCTCCATGCTTTTTAATGGCTTGATAGCTCATTTCTTTTTAGTGTTGAATATTATTCAATTGTCTGGATGTACCAGTTCATTTATCCATTCACCTACTGTGGTTGCCTCCAAGTTTTGGCAACCATGAATAAAGCTGCTACAAACATCCATGTGCAGGTTGTTTAGTGGACTCAAGTTTTCAACTCCTTTGGGGTAAATACCAAGGACTGCAATTGCTCGATCATATGATATGCTTAGTTTTATAAAAAACCACCACACTATCTTCCAAAGTGGCCATACCATTTTGCATTCCCATCAACAATGAATGAGAGTTTCTGTTGCTCTACATTCTTGTCAGCATTTGGTGGTGTCAGTGTTCTGGATTTTGGCTATTCAAATAGGTGTGTAGTGGTACCTAATTGTTGTTTTAATTTGCATTTCCCTGATAACATATGAGGTGGAGCATCTTTTCATATGCTATTTGCCATCAGTATATCTTCTTTTGTGAGGTGTTTTAAGGTTTTTGGCCCATTTTTTAATCAGGTTGTTTTCCTATCATTGATTTTTAAGAGTTCTTTGTATATTTTGGATAACAGTCCTTTATCAGGTACGTCTTTTGCAGATATTCCCTCCCAGCCTGTGGTTTGCCTTCTCATTCTCTTGATGTTGTCTTTCAGAGAGAAGATTTTAATTTTAATGAAGTCACCTTATCAATTATTTCTTTCATGGATCATGTCTTTGGTGTTGTATTTAAAGTGACTGCCATACCCAAGGTCATCTAGTTTTCCTCCTACGTATCTTCTAGTTTTATAGTTTTGCATTTTACATTAAGGTATGTGATTTGAGTTAATTTTTGCAAATGGGGTGTAAGGTCTATGTTTAGGTTCATTTTTTTGCAGAGATGTCCAGTTGTACTAGCACCATTTACTGAAAAGACTATCTTTGCTTCACTGTATTGCCTTTGCTCCTCTGTCAAAGATCAGTTGTCTTTATTGATGTAGGTCTATTTCTGGGCTCTCTATCCTGTTTCATTGATCTGTCTATTCTTTTGCCAGTACCATACTGTCTTGATTACTGTAGCTTTACAGTAAGTCTTAAAGTCAGGTAGTGTCAGTCTTCTGACATTATTCTTTTCCTTCAATACTACTGTGTTGGCTATTCTGGGTCTTTTGCCTTTCTACAGATTTTAATCAGCTTGTAGATATTCACAAAGTAACCTGCTGGGAGTGTGATTGCACTGAGTCTACAGATCAAGGTGGGAAGAACTGATGTCTTTTTTTTTCTTCTTTTATCTCCCCAACCCGCCCCCGTACACAGTTGTATATCTTAGTTGCAGGTCCTTCTAGTTGTGGGAGAACTGATGTCTTGACACTGAGTCTTCTTACCCATGAACATGTTATCTCTCTCCACTTACTTGACTTCATTCATGAGTTTTGTACTCTTCCTTATAAATATCTTGTACACATTTTGTTAGATTTATACCTAATTATTCCATTTTTTTGGATGCTAATGTAGATGGTATTGTGTTTTTAATTTCAAATTCCACTTATTCATTGCTGGCACTGGTGTGTATGTATATGTAGACTGACTTACATACATATATATGTGTGTGTATATATACATACACTTATAAATTAAATATGGTATCTTGTTCAATAGTCTGACTCATTGCTAAATATTGTCCTTAAAAGCAGGGGTCCGAAAACTAAGGCCTATGGGCAAAAGTCAGCTCACCATCTGTTCTTGGTATGGCCCACAAGCTAAAAATGGTTTTTACACTTATCAGTGGTAGGAAAAAAACATCAAGAAGAGAATATTTTGTGACACATGAAAATTACATGAAATACAAATTTCAGTGTCCATAAATAATGTTTTACTGGGACACAGCCACACCCATTTGTTTATACTAGGCTGCTCTCTCACTACAATGGCAGAGTTTGAGTAGTTACGACTGAAACTTTGTGGCTTGCAAAGTTAACAATATTCACTATCTGGCCCTTGACAGAAAGTGTGCCAACCCCCGCTTAAAACTTGTTCAGACAGTGAAAGAGCTTTTCATTTAGAAAGTAGACAGTTTTCTCAGAGAAAAAGTAAACTTGGTCAGTGTTTATGTTTAAGGATCAACAGGAGTACAGGACAAGATCAATTTAATCCCATTCTCCTTTTCTCCATGGATTTTCTAGTTAAAATCTTTAACTTTCTGTAATCAGTTCAGCATGGTGAAGATCAACAATGAAAAGATTATAAAAACAGATAATATATACCCAGCCGCTGCCTCCTTCTCTCCTGACCCCCAGGATTTAAACAATGTAGCCCAGATACTTGAACTCAGTACACAGCCAGACTGCCTGGATTCAACTCTTAGCTCTGCCCCTTAAAAGCTGTGTAAACTTTGGGGAAGGTATCCTCCGCTTCCCCATCTGTAAAATGGGAATAGCAGTATCCACCTCTGAGTTGAGAGAATTAAATCGAGGTAATACATTCTGAGAACAGTGCCCAGCACACAGTAAATGCTAAATAAAGGTAAATCTAGTAAAATTAGATTACCTTCTTCAACATTCCCCACCACAACTTCCCCCTCCTATTACAGGTGAAGAAAGCAAGGCTCAGAAAGGGTATGAAATAAACAATAATTAATTGTTGGCTTCACCTCCTGTTAATTACTGCAAAGCTAAGTGACCACGTGACAGAAATTACAAGAGGAAGGTTAGAAACCTTCTAAAGCATCTCAAATTCTTAGTGTCACAGTTCTAGGTTTTAAAATAGGTACTTGCCCTCCCTATAATTAATAATCCAGTTAAGATTCAACCCTGGCAAGCAGAATTTGCCCAAAGGAGGCGTCACACTTCCCAGCCCTAAAAATACCAGGGAGAAGAATAGTAGGTATTGCTTTGCATCTCTATGGACCCTCTGATGGGAAAACACCCAGTTCACAGACAGACTTTCCCTTTGAAAAGGAACTATTTCCTCAGGGCATCTCCATAGACCACAGAACACACGGGCCACCAGAACTCTATCTATCCTTGGACAGGTGAGAGGGGCTTTTCCACCACACCAGAAGGTGGTGGATGGTGGGTTCCCTGTTCTGCAGGGAACTGACTGTGCAGAAAGGGTTAAAGCAGTCTACCCTTGCAGAGGAGGGTGTATTTTGCAATGGTCCTACTAAAATGGAAACATGCAGAAGCATGCCTGTATATCTGGTTTTCAGTATCTGCCCTTTCCAAAACAAAGGAACAAAACCCAAAGAACTTTTAACAGTGCTGGGTTGATTACTATAATTAGCATTTAGTGCTATTGTAATTTCATCAACTATTTTCATACTGATTTGTGATTAAATTCTACTGAAAACCTACAAAGGAAAATAATAAACTGAGTTTGATCCCTAAAAGCCAATTTTCCAGTTTTTGTACAAAATTTTCACTAAGCCAAGGTTTCTCGGTAACACAAGAAAGCTGTTCTTTCCTCTTATGAATTCCCTTGCAATACCTGACCAGTTACTGGTGTGTCAAATGATGTTCTGGTTGTGCAATCAGGTCTTCGTTTGCCAGTAACTTTTATATTTTTGTTCTTGCCCCTCTAATAATGCCTTTGTTGTTCTTAAACGTTTTTCAAGTTTACTATATTTCTATAATACTTATGGTTTAGCAATCACTAGATAAGGCGACCAGTCAGATAACTCTGTGAGTCAGCTAAAACAATCTGAGTTGGTAGTCTCCCCAAAACAACTTCTGGTAAGACAAATTCAAGGTCTCTCATTTGTTGTGATGCAATACCATGACTCAAAAAAGCCTCTAATTGGATGAAGCCAAGTACAATTTAACTGACTAGTTTCCTGATTCTGGTGTCAAGTAGCAAGTTCAAGGCATAGCCCAGGTTCAGTTCTGACATTACCAGAAAGAATTACCAGAGAAACTGACAGTACTGATTTATATAGCCATTTAGGCACTATAAAACCTAAAATGATATTCTGGTCATGAATATAATTAGGACTATCTTCACATCTAATGAATATATTTAGGACTAGCTTCATGTCTCAAAGGCTGTTTTTTTGGAGGGTGGTAGCTAGTTCAATCTCTTCTTTTTAGACTTAATTTTGGCCTTATTTTCTTTCCCTTCTTATTGTTTCTAAACCTTTTACTCTCTCCCACCACTTAAGCACAGCAAAAGGCAAATAAGTCTAGGGAAAAGTTCTCAATGATCCAGATATTTTAAAAGACGCTGCATGTACTTTACTTTTTGAGAAAATTTATTAAAATCCAATTTACTTAGTTCCCCTATAGAGTTAAATAATTTACTTGAGGAAGTTTCATCACCTCCCTCTCCTATAGATAAGATGGTTGCTAGAGACAAACTAAAAAAAGCCAACCAGGAGGCCTGTATTGGGCACTGAGCTGAGTGAGGGTGTCCTTTCTGAGGAGCATTCACTTTACCTGGTATTCCACTACATACCCAGAAAGATAATGGGATATGTGGAAAATATTTTGCGTGCCAAATTCCGCAAGCTCCACTTCTCACTATTTGTAAATGATCCAGGCCTCTGGTTTTCCTCCCAGGCTTCTGCCTGCCCAATGGCAACCCAAAGCCTGTCCATTTTCTAGGTCTAATCAATACCAGGCCACTTCGAAGGCTTCCTACTTCACTCTTATTTCTCACGGCTCCATTTTTGAATTCTTCTAACACTCATTTCATAACCTACTAATATTTAACTTTATATTGTTACTCAATTTCACTTATCTATGACTTTTCACTAAACGGTAACCTTCTAGAGAAAAGATCGTTAAGTTCTTGTAATTTCCTTCTTACCTAACACAGTACAATTATGCAATAAACTTTTAGGAAAATAATCCACCACGACACTTCACATCTGGCACAAATATGTACCTTGGAAACACTTCACGCATTCTGGTTCATCTTTGTTGGCATGCAGCTGAAACACTGCAAATGCGGCTGTACAAAGTTAGCTAAGAGCCTGTTACCCCCAGTTAATTCACCAGCAAGTTTAGTTTTCCAAAATCACAAGGTTAGCCTGAGGTTACTTCAGGTTTTCCATCTGTCAAGGAGATCTAGAATAAAAATCCTCAGATTACCAACGGGCTCTGTAAACAGAAAAAGTTTAAAAATAAATGAGCTGTACACCTTCCCAGACTCGCCCTCGAAGGGGGGATTAACAGGCGTCAGGATTAAACACGTCTTTGTAGCAGTTCAGTTTTCCATTCCCGCTGTTCGTAATCCTCATTGTCCTACCTATCCACGCGGGAGCGTAGAATAAAGGAGCGGCAAGAGCACGCCTCCTTCCCCAGCAGCGAGCAGCGGAAGGACGCGCCCCGCCGCGGGGCAGCGGGCGGCCGCACGACCCCCGCGCCCCGTCCGCTGGGCCCGCAGCCGCCCAGGCCCCGCCCGCCCCGCCTGCCCCCAGCTGATTGCGGGCACGTGACGCCACGGGCCAATCGGGAGGGGCCGGGCGCGGCGCGGCGGGGCCTCCTCCGGCACAACAAACACGGGCCGGAAACAGCTGAGCGGGCGGCCCCCGGCCCGGGACGCCCGACGCTGCCCGGGAGGCAGGGACCCCCTCCTTCGGGCCAGGGGTCAGCTGGAGAGCAGGAGGGTAGGGGGCCTACGGGGCAGAAAACAAAAGCCAGCGCCGCCCCCCCCCCGCCCGTGGCAAATGCCAGTGGGCCGGAGATGTGGCCCTTTTTGAGCACGGGCCCCGCCGTGGCGTAATCACGGCCCCACACCTCGGCGTCGAGTTCGGACTTCACTTGGGGGGGCCGAGGTCGCGGCGAGGCGGCCAGGCCTCCGGGGCGACCACGGCGGCGCGGAACCCCGGGCGCGCCCCCGACACTGCGGCGGGGACGCGGCCCGTGGGGGCGGG